GAGAGCAGGAGGCTCTGCCCGGGGATGTGACAGCAGGGAATTCGTCCCCCGCCCTGTTTTTCTGCTTTTTCTGCCGCAGCTGCCTTTGCTCCTTTGGGATGCAGGGGTCTGGAGGTAAAGGATGGAAGATGCAGGGGGTGTGTCAGGGCTGGGGGGGTGAGAGGGGACATTACCGGGGCTGTCACAGACTGAGGTCGAGAGGAACCAACTGGCGTTATCGGGTAAGTGGAGGAGAGGAAATGCTAATTCTCGTTTTGGGAGATGATGTGTGGGTGCAGCCTGCCTTTGCTCCTTTGGGATGCAGGGGTCTGGAGGTAAAGGATGGAAGATGCAGGGGGTGTGTCAGGGCTGGGGGGGTGAGAGGGGACATTACCGGGGCTGTCACAGACTGAGGTCGAGAGGAACCAACTGGCGTTATCGGGTAAGTGGAGGAGAGGAAATGCTAATTCTCGTTTTGGGAGATGATGTGTGGGTGCAGCCTCCTCAGGGTTTGTGGGGCTTGGTGTGTGTGGTAGATAACGCTCCTCCCAGTGGCCTGCTGCTGTCCTCTCCAGCATGTGTGCATGTGGGGTTCTTGTGCAGCAAAGAGCACGGTTTCCTCTGTGGCAAGAACCTCTTTGCAGTCAGCGTTGGACTGGTTGAGAGGAGGAAGCATGCTGGCTCATCTGAGCTGTCTGCGTGTCTGTTCCTCCTTGTTCCTGAGCTGATCCTGGAAGTGCTCTCCTTGGGCACCTTAACCTCTGACCAGACCTATTCCTGTATCCCTCTGTTTCATGTGTTCCTCTTTATTGATGTCCAGTCTCGCCCAGGGCTGACTTCATAGAGGTTTCCTCCCTTTTCTTTTCTGCCAGGTGCTGAGACCATGGCCTCCCCAGGTGCACCAGGGACCCGCATGACGTCCGCCGTCATTATCAACATTTCTACTCCTTCCTTCTACAACCCACAGAAGAAGTTTGCACCTGTGGTCGCCCCTAAGCCCAAGGTGAACCCCTTCAAGGCTGGGGGTGCATCAGAGTCCTCACTGCCCCCACCTCCTGGAGCTGGTGCCCAGCGTGCTCAGATGGGGAAGGTCGGGGAGATTCCATCAGCATGCACATCCTCTCTGGCAGAAGGTAGGTGAGGGTTCTCCTATCAAACATGAGTATGCATTTCTAAATTTTCAGGGTGTGAGGTCTCTAATTGAGCCAAACATGAGAACTGCTGGAGGTGATGGATCCTCTTCCTGCAGAGGCTGGCAGGTTTCAGAATGAGATAAAACTATTGCCAAGGGATCTCAAAATATGTACTGTCTCCATTAGGAGAGAGCTGGGAAGGCAATCCTGCATTGCACTGATGCTGGAGGAATGCAGTGGATTTTTCCTAGTATTCCCTGAGTGCATAGTTGTGTAACTGCAGTCAGTTTCTGGCCAGCATGTCTGAGAGCAAATATGTTACAGAAGTTGACCCTGATGATGACAAATCATTCTGTCCTCCTCCTTGTTGATTTCTCTCAGCTCAAGTTGGTTGTGTTGTACTGTAGAGATCTTTCTCATGGACTGTGCAGTTGCCATCCTTGCTGCTGAAGGAAGAGAGGAAGAAATAATTGCATGAAAAAATGGTGGAAGCTCTCGTTAAACAGGAAGTGAGACTCAGAGTTTGTATGGCTTGTGGAGTTTTATATGGTTTTTAGTGGTTTGGGTTAGGTGTGTTTTCCTGTGTAGAGTGGCTGCTTGCTTTAGCATGGCTTTCTTTTTATTTCTCTCTCCTCTTTTTTTCTTGTTTTTGGGGGTTTTTTGCTTGCTTTTTTTTTCCTGTGGTGGTTTGGTGTTTTTTGTTGGTTGGTTTTGTGTTCTCTAAGAAGCAGAATCAGAATGTTCCTGGTTGTATGGCTCCCTAGTTGGAACTGATCAGCACAGGGCCACCAGAATTTTCCTTAGGGACCTCTTGCTAATGCCCAGTGCTGCACATTATGCTGAGATTTGATCAGGGTGCACCTCAGTTGGGAGGCACATGTTCAGATGATGCAAACTGCTGGTTTAAGTTCCTTTCCTTTCACTGTTTAGCATAGGCTGTGCAACACTAATGTTTTCTAGCTTTGTGTGCTAATTTAGCAGACAGCTGACCCAGTGGTAGGAAGGCTGGTCCTATCTTCAGAGTAGGCAAATTATTAAGCCATTTTTTCCATTTCTTGAGTCACAAGAGCCTCAGTATGTTGGTGCTTCTCCTAGAAGTGTACCAGCTAACTCTGGTGACCTTTTTCTTGCACATTTTTAGCTGTAGTCTTTTGTCTATAATCCAAGGCTTGATTTTAGGCTTTGTTTTTCTGCTATAGTTGTGTGTGTTGCGGATGTGTCTGTCAGGAGGTCTCAAACTGACACAAATATGTTACCTGAACTATAAAAGAAGACAGATGGATGTTCAATACTATTTTTCAAGATACAGTGGGACTGAAGGATTGGGTGTTGTTTGCTCCACTTCTCCCTGCTTTATAAAGTTTCTTGTGGAGGAACTAACTTGACAGGAAGATTAGCAGAAGAACATTCACCTTAAGCTGCTGTGTTACCATTGGGTGATGGCTGCCAGTAAAACATCTGAAGTACAGGTGACCACCAAAACACAGGCATGAGAGAAATGCATCCGATTTGATTCTTCTTTGATGCATCTCTTCAATCTTTCTCTTCCTTTCTTATGCACTTGCTAAAAACCCAGAAGTGTCACATAAAGCCATAGCAATTAGCTTTTTTGTCTTAAGTGACAGGATGGTGAAGGTAGTATTGCTGTAGGAAAGTTATATTTGGTATTGGTCATTCTACAAATCTGGTATGGTAACTTTGTGGGGAACCTTTTTGTTTGTATAAACAATTCACAAAACAGCCTTCTAGTGCATCTGAAAAAAATACGACAGCAGATCAGGGCTTTGTTTCTGCAATATTCTTTCTCGTTTCAATAAACCAAATGGCAAGCATATGCAAACTCAATCTCAAACTGTAGTTTAGAAAAAGTATCAGTCTAGTATTACTCACCCCCACTCCAGCAGAATTACTGTGGCATAAAAAGGCTTGGAAGAGATGCTGCATACCAATGGAGTTTATGCATTCCGTTAGCTAATGAGATTTCAGCTTTCATTTTCTGAAAGGCCAGTATTGTCTCCCTTAGGTTACAGATGAGAAGTCCTTATAAAGTCTGACAACAGGTGGATCTGAAGATTAGAGGATTCCATTACAGCTGTTAAAAGTTGCATATGGAATAGTAAGAGTGAAGAAGGTAGTCTTTCACCCTGCTGCTGGTTGGGGCTAGCTAGGAAGAGAGGTGGGTGTCCAGATGGGATGTGGACATTACGTCTCTTTGTCTTCAGTGTTCTTTGCTGCTTGGGTGAATAGAGAAACAGTGAAGGAAAGAGGATGATTCACATTTATTTGACTGTGTCGTAGTAGAAAATGTCTCTGGCCTGTTCCACATCAGTAGCAAATATGAATAGGTGGAACCAATGGGGTTTTCTTTTAGGGGACTGAGGTGGTCTAGTGTTTTTTGCCTCCTTTTGCCTATTTTGGAGAATTTCTCATGTCATAATCTGTATCGTGTTTGGGGACATTCTAGCTTCCAAAAGGAAAGCTGTTTTGATCTCCTAGAAAAAAAAAAAAAGTCATTTAAAAGGTTCCTTATATATGTAAGGGGTAGTTGGTCTAACTTGATTTTTGTATTTTCTTGTTTCTAGTGGTGTTTACTTACCAGCTGTGAAGTGTCAGCCTATTTTCCTGTAATAATACAGGCTCTCCAGGGTCCTGGGTTGTCTGCTGCTCCCTATACAGCAGTCTGAGTCACTTACTGGCAGGAGAAGCATATGCTAGAGACTAAAGCAAGAGAAGAGGTGTGGGAAAGGCCATAGTAAGGCAAGGTTCCCAATTATACAGTAACTGTACCCAGTGACAGTTTGGAGTAGCTACTGAGGAAAGTTTATATGATGCCAAATATCTTTGAACAAAGTGAAAGCCTATCTGTGGAGTTCAGTCACCCTGATGGGTGCTGGGGTCCTTTGGGTACTGGGGAACTACTTGCTATAATACCTTCAAGACACCCCCTGGAGGTTTTACTGGGTAAGAGTAAGAAATAATCCAAATTTGCTTTTTTTTATATATTTTTTTTTAATATTATTCCCTATAGAACTGCCACTGCCACCTCCTCCCCCACCTGGAGAAGAGGCAAGTTTCTCCTCAAATTGTGCTTTTCCCCCTCCACCGCCACCCTTTGAAGAGCCTTTTCCACCAGCCCCAGAGGAAGCTTTTCCTTCTCCTCCTTCTCCTCCTCCACCTATGTTTGCTGAAGAGCCTATGAGCAAAGTACCTGCCCCACAGGTGAGTGTGGTCAAGGGAAATATAGTTTCCTTTGTTGTTCTGTGAGTTGGGACAGCTTCTCACTACTCTCTGAACTCAGCAGCAGGAAGCCTTGAGATCTGGGAAAGCAGAAAATGCTGCTACCCCGTGGACCAGCATAGGTTAGACTCAACTGGCTGGGCTACATCTCTGCAGATGAAGGACCTTGGGTTCCTGGTGGACTGTGAGCCAGCAATGCACCCTTGTGGCAATAAAGGCCAACCACATGCTGGGCTGCATCCACAAGAGTGTAGTCTGCAGAACAAGTTGGACAGTGCTTATTTCTCTCTCTTCAGTGCTAGGGAAGCTGCATCGTGGTGGACTGTTTCCAGTTGGGCTCCCTAGTATAATATCCCCAGAGATACTAGCTAGATACTGATCTAGCTGCAATGCAGCAGAGGATCATAAGTGGTCATTGGGGGTTGGAGCCCATGATGTGAGGTCTGGGTTTGCTCAGCCTGCAGAAGAGGAGGCCAAGGCAGGGGTCTAACTGCAATCTGCAGTACCTAAAGGAGGGCTGGAGAGAAGACACGTTCTTTTTACTGGGGCGCAACGAGAGAACAAGAGAGAATGGACTCAAATTGCGGCAAGGGAAATACCTGTTGGACAGAAGAAAAAGCTGTTTCCCTCCAAGGGTGGCTCAACACCCTAGAGAGGTGGGGGAATCTGCATCCTTGGGGATGTTCAGAAATCACCCAGACAAGGCCCTGAGAAACCTGGACTAGCTTGGGAGGAAGCCCTGCTGTGAGCAGGGAACTGGACTTGAAACCTCCATATGTCCTTTCCCATGTAAATCTGTCTGAGTTTCTTTGGGCTGTGTATTTTCCCACTGTTTGTAGACCTTGGAGACTGCTCTGTTCACCCTTGCCGCCTTGCTACCCATTCAAAGCAAGGAACAGATGAGTACTGCAGTCCACAATGTCAAAATCTGCTATTGTAAGGGGAATTACACCAGGTTCTCTGGCAGTTCCTGTAATGTGCTCTGCTCCCTCTCTCCTCATGGATGGTGGTGTAGGTACGTGGCAAGATGAGCAGCATTGATCTTGAGATTGACACACTGTCCGTAATGTTGGATGACATGGAGAAGAATGACCCCTTCAGATCCCGGGTGAGCTCTCCAGAGTGGCACAGGTGGAAGGAGAGATGATGGATTTGCTAAACAGCAGTAGTGAGAAGGGTGCTACTGAAAATTAAAATATCTGGATAGGCCATAGCATGAAAGTGTACATGAAGGAGCAGACACCATAGATCTTGCAACTTGTTGGGACTGCCACAGTGTGGGAACTCTTAGCATTGTGGGTCTGGAATAGCTGCTGACTGTACTGCTATAGACAGCATATTTTCTCTTCCACCTTGCTGATCACTGCCTGTTTCTCTCTTCTGCTTCCCTTTGCAGGGATCTTCAGGAACCACAGGTTCTTTGGAGAAACCATTGGCCCCAAAAGCTCCTGCAGAGATACCATCTGCACCCAGAGATACTTTTCATTCCTCTCCTTCCAAGTTCACTCCAAAGCCAAGTGGAAGTTTACCTTTCAAGCCCCCTGGGGTGGATTTGACCCCTTCCCCAACCCCATGGGCAGCTCCACAGCAACACAAGGAGCCTCTAGCACCAGTCCCTCCACCTCCATCTCTTCCTCCTGCTCAGCCTACCCCTAAATTCACCCCACCTGCTGTTTCTGGCTCTCCTAAGTCTGGGTCCAAATCAGGTGCCAATGTTCCTGTGGCTTACCCAAACTCTGCAAGATCTACCTCCCTTCAGACTCAGTTCACAGCCCCTTCACCTTCAGGTCCCTCCTCTCAACCACAGCCTCCCAGTTTCACCTATGCCCAGCAGAGGGAAAGACCCCAAATTCAGGAGAAGCTGCGTCCCACAGAACAACCTGCAGCTGCAAAAGACACGGTAAGGAATAGAGCCATGGGGAGCAGGGTCTTTTGACAGGCTGGGAATGAAATTGGAGGATGAGGTCTGTTCCAGGCTAGGGGAAGCTGTTAATCATCTGAAAGAGATATATAACTAGAGGCAGTGGTGGAAAGGGATAGGACTTGATGTAAAGGTGCAAAGAAGCAAGCACAGTGGAACGCAGATTGCTTCCTAGAGAGAAACAGAAAGGAGAAGTAAAGGTGAGAGAAGCAGATTTATTAGGAACAGGGTGGGAGGGGGAATCTGTGTGTATGTCTCCTTTGGGATTGACTGTTTCCTCTTCCTGCAGCATAGACCTGCAGGCTCCAGTGGAGATCCACCTAGGGGCAACTCCTGCCTGACCATGAAGGAGGTAGAAGAGCTAGAGATGTTGACCCAGAAATTAATGAAGGATATGGAGCATCCGCCCCCAGCAGAGGCTGCTACTTCTGGTGCGTTCCATCAGTGAACAGCAGTAGGACTAAGACTGTGGTGGGCTTTCCTCTCTTCTCATCCTTTTCTCCTTCCATTGACAGAGCTCTGTGGCTTCTGCCGTAAGCCCCTGTCACGGACCCAGCCAGCTGTGAGAGCACTGGACTGCCTCTTCCATGTGGAATGCTTCACCTGCTTCAAATGTGAGAAGCAGCTGCAGGGGCAGCAGTTCTACAACGTGGATGAGAAGCCCTTCTGTGAGGACTGCTATGCTGTGAGTCACTGAGCTGAGAGCTGCTGGGTAGAGCTGAGCTTGTTGGGTTGCTGTCCCTTGCTTTCCCTTCCTCCTTCCATCTTACCTGTGGCGCAGTCTCCCAGGGGAGGGAGATTAATGTGTCTGTCTTGTTTTCTTTGGGCTCAGGGGACCTTGGAAAAGTGCAGTGTCTGCAAACAGACCATCACAGACCGGATGCTGAAGGCCACTGGTAACTCCTACCATCCCCAGTGTTTCACCTGTGTGATGTGCCATACCCCTCTGGAAGGGACCTCTTTTATTGTGGACCAGGCCAACCAGCCTCACTGTGTGGATGACTACCACAGGTACAGAGAGAGCACATGCATGTGGTGTCTGAAGAAGGGCAGATTCCCTCACACCTGCTTAATTTTGCTGCAGTGTGGGGTTGACTTGCTCACATGATTTGTTGGACATGAAGCTAAAAGTGAGTCAACTATGTACCTTGTAGGAACTAAGGACTTCTCCCACCTAAAGTTCTTTGGGATTTATTATTCCTTTGCTGCTAATACTATTGTATGTCAGTGAGAAACCTGCACTGAGTATCACCATCATGGTCATGGTCTTCTCCATGTTTTTGTGTGTTGCAGGAAGTATGCCCCACGCTGCTCAGTCTGTGGTGAGCCCATCATGCCAGAGCCTGGAAAGGATGAGACGGTGCGTGTGGTGGCACTGGAGAAAAATTTCCACATGAAATGTTACAAGTGTGAGGTGAGCCTGGTGGTTTCACTCCTCCCATATCTCCCATGCACATCACCAGCAACTGGTGTTGTCTATTCTGACCAAAGACTAAGGTTGTTTTGGATTAATCTGGAGCATTTTTTAAGCAGGCTCAGAAAAAGATTAGGACATTGAGAGACTACAGGTCCATGAACAAGAACTATGGAGGGCTGTTACCTCTGACATCCCTAATCCAGCAGCTTTGTATACCAGGGAAACATGCTGGGATCACAGAAAGTAGTTGGTTTTCTCCCATTAGCACCATCCTAGACAGAGCAGTGGGCTGGGGGACTTTTTACAAGGGCATGTAGTGAGAAGATAAGGGGTAATGGATTAAAACTTGAAGCAGGGGGATCCAGGTTAGACTTTAGGATGAAATTCTTCACTATGCAGATGGTGAGACACTGGCACAGGTTGCCCAGGGAAGCTGTGGCTGCCCCATCCCTGGAAGTGTTCAAAGGCAGGTTGGATGGAGCTCTGAGCAACCTGGTCTAGTGGGAGTTGGTCCCTGCCCATGTAGGGGGGTTGGATCTAGATTATTTTTAAGGTCACTTCCAACCCTAGCCATTCTTTGATTCTCATCCATTGGGGCATTTTGTGCATCCTTGAATGCATTTCCCCTGCTGTTGGCTGTCATTGAGCACCCTCCCACTTTTCTTTCCCTCTCTAGGACTGTGGGAAGCCCTTGTCCATTGAAGCAAATGAGAATGGGTGCTTCCCGCTGGATGGGCATGTGCTGTGCATCAAATGTCACACTGTTCGTGCCAAAGCAGCACGCTGAGGAGCTTGGAGACCCCTGCACTCAATACTTCTCCCCTCCCCTGCATTGTCCTGACCTTCTGCCTGACAAGGCAGGTTGCTCCCAATGGATACTATGCCAGTGCAGTTCTTTACTCATGTAGGATTCACAGTTCCTAGACTTTGCTGTGCACACCCACGAAGAACAAACCTCCTGTCACTGCTTCCTGGCCACAATTTTTTTTTCTGGGCTGGGGGCTATGATCAATGGGAGTGCAATCAACAAGAGTGCGCCATCTCCGTTCCCTCAAGACTCTGGAGGAGGACCAGATCTCCCACCACTGCCTGCTGGAAGTAAAAAGAGCAACCTGGTGGCACATGCTGGGAAGGTCTGAGCATTCTTTTGTTCCATGGAGCCAAGAATGATGATTTGACCTTAGAAGGTGGAAGCCTCCATGTGGGTACCACTTCTGTCTTCAGTTTTATATTTTTTTTGTGTGTCACCTCATTATCAGGATGTCTTCCTCTTCCCTCTCCCTCATGGGTTAGTGTGGAGGCAGAACGTACTGTTACCATTGCTGGAAAAAAGCTAACCTACTATAGCTTTTCTGTCTGTAATGGATTTTACTGACTGTTGTCATTTTTTTTTCCTTAGCCAGATTAATCTGGCATTCCTTGGAAGCCTACTGTCTTCTTGAGTTTGGAACCTTTTTTTTTTTTTTAAAAATCTTTTTTCCTCTCTGCAGTGAATAATTTCCCAGTGTGGTTTCTGGACAGCCAGGCTGGGCACCAGAGTAGCAAAGCAGTCCAAAGAACCCATGTTTACAATTTAAGACTGTCAGAAGGATGGGCAGCACTTGGTGATGACATTCCAGTGTATAGATGAGGATCCAGCAGTCTGAGGAGCATCTCCCACTTCCAGTAGGGATTCTTTCACTGCTGTCAGTGAAGGATACAGTGTAATTGCAATGTACTGTCTGGCTTCAAGTGTAACTGCACTGAGCCCCATTTCCTGAGCTAGAAACTCTCAAACTGAACAAACCTTCTGAATAACTACACTGTCCAACCACAATGTTTGCATTCAATAAAATATGGGTTTTTTCCATTAACATGTCTGCTGTATTTGTTCAACTACCCATGAGAATTGCTGTCTCAATCAGCAGAGAAGGTATATATCACATAGCTACTGCACCCAGCTTCCAGAAATGGTGAGTCCAAAATTGGTCTTTCTCTCTCCACCTCTTTGTCTCGTCTTCAAACTGTTTAGTTTCCTGCTTTTCTGTTCCTGAAGAGCAGCTCTGTTGAAAGCAGTGGCAGACCTGCATTTCTGCACAGCAAGGTGGCAGCCTGCTCCATGGGCTCACTGGCAGGCAGGTTGTTACAATCCACTTGCATAAGACTGGAATAAAGCAGTAAATTTGCTTGCTTTTCCCTAATTATTGCTACTTGGAAAGTGTTTGTCCTTCATGTTTATGGTTTTAAGCATGGTACTGTCTTTGTCACTCCAGATGAAACTCCTCTTTGTGGTAAGCATCAATCAACATTTCTACACTTCAAAGACATGAAACCTATTCTTGTTCTCTTGCCAGTTTTGGGGAAACCTTAAACGCCTCCTTGCAAATTGATCAGTAAATGCTTTGAGGTTTCCTATAGGATGAGCAAAGAAAAAATACATTTTACACTTGCTTTCTTTTTCTTACCTGAGTTTTTGCTGTTGTGTAGGCATGGGTTTGAGTGGTTATTTCTAGATGATGTGATTAACAAGCTTGTGCCCACAAGCGCTAAGGAGCACAGGAGAAAGAAATGGGGGGGGGGGTGGTGGAAGGGGAGAGAAGCTTGCTAACCCAACTTCCCAGAGCTATCAGAGGACTATGGCCCAGAGTCTGGGTGTGAAACCTGTCCAGCTGAGTCAATGGGAAGGGCTCTTGGTGGATTAAGAGGAGGTTACTCCCTCAGAGGGTCATGGAGTGCAGGGGAAGAGCATTTGGGGACAGTGCAACACTTGTTAGGGGATGTGTAGGGGCAGGATCAAAGGCAGGAAAAGGGATCAAAGAGAAGAAGCAGAATGGGAGAGCCAAGGGGGAAAAGGGCACAGAAGGGGCTGGCTGTGTGTACACAATACACTTGCCTGGCCATGCCCTGTGTGTCATCAGTGCAGCCTGTCCTGCCTTCTTACTAAACTCTATTTTTTGTCCCTGTTTGAAAAGGTTTCAGTTCATGGGGAGGTCTGAGTGCAACTGGAAATACCTGAGTGCATGCAGATGGGATGGGTGCGCATATCCCTGCATCATTGGTAGAGAAAACCAAGTTGGAGTAGCTGGTGAGTGAGTAGGCTGAGACTTGAGAGCCATGAGCTGGCCTGGCTGGGAGTCTGGCAGGGTGCTGGACAGACCGGTCTGAGAGTCAGCTGCTAGAGCTCTCAAGCCTTGGGTCTGCAAATCAGCCACTGGTAAGCCTGGACCAGCTACCGGAGAAGAGTTTCAATCTGTGTATGAGGTGAGTGGGCGACCAGAGAATCCTGGGGCCAGCTGCTGGGCAGAGCCAATGTGAGGGTAATTACTGAGGCAGATATTACTCGTGTGTATTTCTGTGGGCAGGCACATGAGGCATCGGAGTGCACCCCCCTGGGGTGGGGCTGCAGGCCTTGAGGACTCGTCTTCTGGTGCCAGTAACTGAGGACACCAGCTTAGACTCCAGCTACTGTCTTAGACACTAGAGGGATCCATAGTATTTATGTAATATATTTCTTGCTAACAGGTTCATCCTGATCAGCCAGAGTAGGGATTAGGATCCAGCTGTTTGTGCTGTGCTTGCATGACTGCTGAGTTTTCTGCTTCAGGCCAGCCCTAGTGTGTGTGTATATACATGCGCATGTACACACATCATATACATGTATATTTTGTGTGCCTGAGTGCCTTTTGGGAATACATGCTCAGGCTTGCTGCTGGCTCTATGTCAGGGCCTGGAACTGAGCAGCCCCTTTACTATAAGGCCAGCTGATTCAGCAGCTCCTCACAGCTGACATTGGAAGGGAGCTCCCTGCTCAAAGCAGGTTGCTCAGGAATGTACCCTTTCAATTTTTTAATATCTCCAAGGATAAGAACTCCCTGGGTAACACGTTCCAGTGCGTCCTGGTTTTGCTAGCATAGAATTCTAAAATAATTGTTGAGAAACTGTAGTTTTGAGAGGTTGCAGAGTCCAAATCTGTGAGAACAAAAGAGAGAAGATGCTCTGGTGTGCATGTTTGCATAGTGACCAAGGCCAAGAGTAGTTTGAACCATATAGGTGCAGTGGGCCAGGAGGGGAAAAGCCCAGGGCAGCTGACCCAAGCTGGCCAACAGAAATATTCCATACCATGAAAGTCATCCTCACTATAAATCATGAAGCTTGTGGAGATGTTTGGGACTTCTGCTATGACTGTCTTCCCAAGAAGGTCCTGTCCATCTTGGTCATCCTGTGCCTACTCCTTTGTTTCCTGTGACAGTTGTGTTCTTGCTGGAGCTGTTGTGCTGGAAGTGTTGGGCATTCAGCAGCACACAGCTCGTGACCACTGTCTGGAGCAGAGTATAACTCTGCATCTTCTATTAGCACTGGGATTAATATTAGTTCATTATTATTACCCTGTTAAATCTTTCATTTTCACCCATGGGTCATCTTTCCTTTTCCCTATTTCCCCCCTCCTGAGTGTGGTCAGGTGATAGAAAACTAAACAGCCACACAGTGTTAAACAATTCTCACAGTAAGTTGTTTTGGGTTTTTTTTTTCTTACCTTCATATGGATTTTTTTAATGTTGTGTTCCACCTGCTCATTCTTCTTTCAGTGGTTACCACTGAGGAAAATCTGGCTCCCTCTTCCTCACGCCCTCCCAGCAGGTATTTCTACACAATGGTAAGAGTTACCCAAACCTCATCTCAAGGCTGAACAGTCTCGGCTCTCTCAAACTCTTATCATATGTCAGATGCTTTAATATCTTCAAAATCATAGTGGCCTTTCACTGGATTTGCTCCAGTAAGTTCCATGCCCTTCTTTGTACTGAGGAGCCCAAAACTGGACAAAATGCTCTGGATGTGTGACCAATGCTGAGGAGAGGGGAACAATCTACTCCCTTTGGCTACTGGGGATGCATTTGATAATGCAGCCCAGAAACCACTGGCCTCCTTTGCTTCAAGGGCATGTTACTGGCTCAAGTGCTACTCGGTGTTCACTATGACCTTTTCTGGTCCTTTCCTGCCAAACTGCTTTCCAGCCAGTTAGCACTCAGCATGTACTTGGCATGGGACTGCTCCTTCCCAGTTGCAGGGCTCTGCATTTATTTCCCTTTGTTCACCTTCACGAGTCTCCTTTCTTCCCATTTCTCCCACCCATTAAGGTCCATCTGAATGGCAGCACAACTATCTATCAACCACTACCAATTTTCTACCATCTGTGAATAGGCTGAAGTTTACATGAGCATGACAAGCCCTTATATAATCTTGTCTGCCTCATCAAGGGTTGTCTTCTAGCCTGGGTATCTGCCATGTAGCTACTTTATTATCTGTACTTCATGTAAAGACACCTATTACTAAGACTGAACTTACTGATACACTAACAAGCCTCTCAATAAGAGCTTATCTTGTCAGCTGTATCTCTTCCTACAGCTGCAGTGACTCAAGTAGCTGAGGTATGTGTATACTTTGGTTTTCTGTATACACTCAGTTGCTTCTCATGTTGAAAAGAAACCAGCCTTCTTGCTTTAAGTTGCTGTTCTTCAGATCTCTGCTGCTCAACCTTTCTGTCATTTATGGCTAAGCACACCTTCCCAGGAGCAGGAATGTTCATTTATAGCCTTTAGAATTTGGACCATGATACAGTTATGGAAGCACTGAGCTACAGCAGGTCACTGATTGCTGAATTGCTCACATTCACTTTCTTCACCAACATAGACTTAGCTTAAACACTGAAACACTCTTCCCAGGCAGGATAAAATCTTACGAAAGTCATAGTGAGATACTTTTTTTCCCTTGAGGACAGTATCTTCTGCAGCAGAAGCAAGTGCTACTCACATGCACTTCCTCAAACTACAGCA